GCGCCATCGTGGCGGCTGAAATGATCGGCAACCTATTCGCTGGAACACTGTTCGCCGATCAGAGGTCAGCAGTAGGCTAAGCTGAATCATTGCAGGAGATACTAGCCTTCGAACATCGTCTCGTAGTTTTGTGTGGCGTTGTGGAGCCTATCCATTATGAGTTGCGAAGCGCAAACTAGGTAATCGGAGCTGAAGCTTAACCCTGCGAACCCCAACAGTTGACCACGACAGCGTACGCCGAAATTTCGCTCTGAACACCGGTTAAGAAATCGAGAGCCTCCCTTAGTCCTAGGTCATCAGTCGTACTTACGCAATGTTTCTCGTCTTGACTTCCATTTTATTACTCGAGTTTGAGATCTCTTCTGTGATGAGGTCAACTCGTCACAGAAGAGATCGTCCCCCGTCAACTCGCGGCCGCTCGTCACATACTCAATTTGTGAACCGCCAAACCTGAAGTCTCGCGTGGCCAAACCTCACAAACCAGCACAGAAGATTTTTACAGAAAGGTTGAATGCGCTTGGACTAACACAGCTAACCCACAGGCGAATCGGAGCTGACTTGACCCTGGCATTTCGTATCTTAAAAAATGGAACTATTTAAATTAAGGTAAGCAAATATTGGGTATTNACTTTGAGGAAACGCCATTCTTCACTCCTCAACAGCTTGACTCCTCAACAACTTCTTCTTCCAGGCAGCGGGGTGACTTGATTGCCTCCCGACTGAGTTACTCCAATCACCAAGCGGTAAGGTATTCAGAGAAAAATTGAGGAAAGCTAATCATGGAGGAGTGTTGTATTTTAACTTTTGACTCGATTGAAGCGGTCCAGGCCTAGTCTTCAACATTTGAATTTTTTCAGAATAGCATTTCACCATTCTTCAAGGCTTAGGATCCTGAAGATTATTCATTTAGATTTCTCGAGAATCTCCTCAATTATTAATCTGGAGTCAATGTTGATAAGGTAGCCATTCTATAAAATGGCAAGCTAATTATTTTGGAAAGCACTCTTCATGATTGTAATGTCTTTAGAAAACTACTTCATTGTACTACAAGGGGAACTGAGTATCATGCTTGGCTGCTGGAAAAAATGGTAGTTCACCTTGGCAGGCAATTTTCTGTGGTGGGAATCTTTTCAACTTTGATTTCAATC